ATTTGAAACTACTCCTGGGAAATGAAGTGCAGTATAGAAATTGAAGTGCTAGAAATGTAAAGAATTGAAAATGTAAAAAACTGGAAAGAAAATGAAGTAAAATAAACTGGTTTCTGGATCTGAATCTGGGTCCCTCATTCTGGGACATTTCTTACTATTTATACTTCCAGTGGTAATCGTCCAAGTGAGCTTCCAACCGTCAAAATATCCTCCCATGATTGTTGAACATGCTCTCTCACAGTCAGTCCTACTACGCCACTCTTGCAGTTAGGCTTCCCTCCTGATTTTGAATTTAAACTTATGAGTAACCGTTAAGCCACATCATCTTGTATCTCTCGATTGTTCCAGTACTACGCAGATCCATTATTACCAATACGAATTGCCACGTGTCCGACTTTGATTGGCAACTTGTATTAACTCCTCAAATTTTCCTCCTCATACCACGTGTTAAATTGTAATTGGCTTTTACAAATTATATAGCCGACATAACCCCCCACACTAATATACCCAATACTTGGTGATATTAGTAAACTAGTAAAATCTACTCACGTTCTCAGACGTGCATGGACTCTGTATATTCTGGAAGTATAACTGCTTTTTGAACAATGAAGCTATGAACTTCATTAAATCCTTGTGCTTTGCACTTCCATTCTTTGAGTAGACGAAAAGACTAGTATATCCCCAATGGCCAATCACACCTTCTCTTACATTGATCGAGCATACGAGGAATCTTTGGAAGATGATTACAGGCCTCGAAAGAACCTAATGCATTTATTGGCTACACCTATCCGCCTCCATTTATACAAGTCATGGAAGCTTTTGCAAATTACCAACCTTTAGAGCAAGAATCTGCCAACTACAAACCTTTGGACCAAGCATTTGCAGAAATGGATCTAGAAGCTCCTCTTTTGCCGCACCACTCTCTGCATAAGACAAAACCACTTCTTCTTCCTCTAAGTCTATTGGTTGGGAAAGTTGGTCAAAACATGATGAACCCAAATTAAGGAAGAGGATTCATCATCGATTTGTTGAATTCGATGATCCCCTTTCTATTCCTCCTTCTGCTCAGAGCTCAGTGGTTTACCCCTATGTACCCATTGATCACCAACGCAATTTGGAAGACAACTTGCTTGTGGCGTGGTACATATCTTCCATGCCAACGAAGATAGTGCGAGAAACTCCTCATCCATATGAAGCACGGGGATATAATCCGTCATTCTTGGCTAAGAAGGCAAAACTTGCTCTTCTGACTGGCTCGAATGCATGAATGACCCCTAGTTCTCCTCTTCCTTCGGGATGGATCCCTTTGCACCTCCTCTCCCTTAGAATTCTCATTGGATGGAAAAATTGAAACTTACTCTTTTTGAGAATCAGTTTTTTCTTTCCTACCAACCTCCAGCTCTCCTAATTGCATTTGAGCGATACAAAGCTCAGCTTCTACTTGCTGCCTTCTCTCACTTGCCTTTCAATGTTCTTGGAAACGAGATTCCTCTCAAAAACTTCCAATGGGCCTATGATGTTATGACTCGGGGTCATGTTCTCAACCCCATTGCCTAGACAGAGCTTCAAGCTTTTTCAGATCAACTACCACTCCTTCATTGGTACAAAATTTCTTGCGTTACCAATGACTCTTTGGACGAAATCACAGCTTATCGAATTCAGACTCAATACGAAGTAGAGAACCTTATTGAAGAATATGATGACTTCAAGAATAAGGATTCAACGTACTGGGATGATTTGAATATGGACGAAATGGAGCAAGGCTTGAAAGAGACAGAGTTCGAGGTGAAAGCTGAACAGCTTTTTCACCAAATAAGAGCATACCAGCTGCAACAACCTAACTTTGATAGGATAGAACATAAAATAAAGAAAGAACATAAGTTCATTGAACACTATTGACTTAAATTTAATGAACTTGTTACTTTTTCTATTTGCTACTATTATGAAATCGAATTCGTAGCCAAGTAGGCCTTTCTAATGTAATTACTTACATATCAATAAAACTAGGGGTTTTCTTCCCCTATTTGGCATAATCTGGTTTTGTGTTCCAATTGCATGCTTGTGACCATTTTATTCACACAATTCAAATAAAATTAGAGCTTCGAATTAACCAATTTTTGCTTCGAAGCCTGATTTGAACATCTCTGAAGTATGGAATACCTGAAGCCTGATTTTAGTATCTCCAAAGTATGGAATACAATTGACAATTTTCCCTTAGGTCTTCTCATTCCAATCGCATGGTCAATATAATCTAACAGCTTTGAATTAACCAACCTTTCTTCGAAACCAAGTTTAAGTGCTTCAAAGTATGGAATTTTTCCTTAGAAATTACACTACTTACTCTTAAAGAGCTCTCTCAGATAGAAAATTCAAGGATGAAATTTCATGTAAAGGTAAATCTTGTGGGTTTCTTCACTATTTGACCAAGAACTAGTTTTGTAATGCTTACTTATTGCAGAACCCCAAAACAAGATAAGCATTCTAAAGACTCCTTCACAGGATATTACCTTATAAAGACATCCTAGAAGTATGCTTATAAAACCTTCAAAGAGAACAAGCTGTAACTAATATCTTTTTAAGGTATAAGCTTCGAAGATCTTGGAAGGAAATTGGCTACGAAGCCAACTTATAAGTATTCAAAGCCAAGTTGAGCGTTTAAAAATATACTTCCCTTCCAAAACTTACTCTTGAAAGAGATTCTCAATGATGTGGTTTTGACACCCCTTGTATTTTAAAACTAAAGTTTTAATTCCACATGAGCCAAAAACCATTAATTAATTTATTTCGGGTCTACTTGACACATCGAGTCAACTTGGTAATTTTTGGGCGGAAAGGTTTAAAACCCTTTTTCTTCATGCTTTACCTATTCACTTGCCCAAAATTTCCCTTCTCACCCCTATTGCTCTTGTTTGCAACTTTACACTCCTCATCTACCTTCTTCCTTCAACTCCTCGATAATGGCTTCTTCTCCTCTAAAAGTACCAGTCGTTGAGCACGTAAGTCCATCTGTGGCTTTGAGAAGACTCATTAATAAGGAATGTGACAAATATAGACCGATGAATAGTGTGTTGTCGATGGACGCATCCTTATTCCTCGTCATCATGCTCAAGGAGAATACGTGCTTGGACCTATTTTCAGGGAAGCCCGTGCTTAGCTTCCTGCCTTATACCCGCGTCTAAAGGATCATTGCCTTTTTTATGAGGGTGACCTTGACTGGGGAAGCTGGAGGTTGAGTCAACTCCGCCGTTATTAGCCCACCTTGAGGCCTGAATGAGAGGAATGGTATGATCGAGTTATTCCTGCTAGGATGTTGGACCTTATATTTTTGTTGATGATGTTGTTGTTGTTGATGAATTCTTATATTTTTTTGAGCTGTTTTTTTTTTGGCTAGAGAATTTTCGGGATCGGGGAAACCCGATCCCCGTTAGGGGGGCGAGGACGGGGGCGGTGATAGGTTCCCCATCGTGGATTGGGGCCGGGGATCGGAAAATTTCCACCATCAAGGATCGGGGATGAGGAGTGTGATCATCAGCCCCACCCCGCCCCGTCCCGTCCCGCCTGCCTCGTTGCCATTCCTAACAAGGACCACACGCGTGCAAATGAGAATATTCTCTAGAAATTGCTCTATCTTCCTTTGGGAGAACTGCTCTGTTTTACCCTTAGCCACTTCTCTATTTTGCCAACGACAGCACTATGTTTTTCCACTTTGAGGCCTGGCCGTTCCAAGATAAGGCTCGACCAAGTCCAATAAAAGACAGTCGTGCTTCAATTTCAACCAAAAAACCTATTTTGTATAGTGAGATAATAACAGTGTAGACATAATGTTTCCAAAAGATATTTGTCCTTTCTACACCTTTCTATCATGAAGATGCTCAAGGAAGAGGTAGATTTGCTTCCTAAATCATCAACCATCAAAGGCTTTTGCATGATGATCTTAGAGGTGGCAAAAATGAGAATTAAAGCTAGAAACTTCAAATGAAGAAACGGCTCAAACATACTACATCTCATAGTAAACAAGAATAAATGAGTACTCGAATTAGAGAGAATAGGTTAATGAGAATCATTTTATGCAAAAGCCTTGGAAACAAGAGGTTGCATCATTGAAAAAAGGAATTAGAGACTTTTTTCTGTGCTCATGGAACATGAATTGATATCCATTTCCATGCTTCAAAATGGAACTAGAAGAGAGTCTCTAATACTTTTGATGAAAGAGATCTTGTTTTGTTTTAAAGAGAACCAAATCAAAACTAAAAGAAAACAAACAGAATAACTCAAAAAAACAAGCTAACTATCACTTGGGTTAAACAAAAAACACTTACAGGGGGTGCACTACAACAAAATGCACCTTTGGTGACTAAAATTGGCGACTAAAAAAAATTTAGTCGCCAAAAGTTATGGAATTGGTGACTAAAATTATTTTAGTCGCCAAAAGTAAAATATTTAGCTACTAATTTTTTTTAGTTGGGGTATATTCATTACAAAATGCAAGAATTTGCGATAAAAAAAAAATTAGTCGCTGTATATTGACTTTTGGCTACTAAAATATTTAGTCGCCGAATGAAAAATAAAAAAATTATTTTTTCTCTTTGGCGACTAAAGTTTTAGTCGCCAAAAACTTACTGTCAGTGACAAAAAAAATTTACTCGACGTATATTGATTTTTGGTTACTAAAATATTTAGTCCCCGAATGGAAAATAAAAAAATTATTTTTTCTCTTTGGCGACTAAAGTTTTAGTCGCCAAAAACTTACTTTTAGCGACAAAAAAAATTTAGTCGCTGTATATTGATTTTTGACTACTAAAATCATTTCGTGGCCGAATAGAAATAAAGAAATATTTTTTATCTTTGGCGATCAAAAACTTACTTTCAGTGACAAAAATAAATTTTAAGTGCCAAAAAATAAAATATTTGGAGGGATTTTTTAAATTTTGGAGCATTTTATAAATTAATTGGCGATTAAATTTTAGTCGCTAATGGTGTAATATATAGATTTACTTGGTTTCCAAACAACAAACCAACACTTGTGTCTCTCTCTCTCCCTCTCCCTCTCCCTCTCCATTGCTCCTCTCCCCTCCCTCTCTCCCCGCCCTCCACCAGCCGCGCCTCCGCCGCTCCTCCTAGCGGTCGCGGGCAACCAGACCACCGATTCACCTAGATTTGCCCTATTTTCTCTCTCTAAAATCTCTCTATAGTCGTATATCTGTCTATCCATTAACGGCGAGACCGATGTATGTATATATATATGTGTGTGTGTGTGTGTGGATTTGTATGTGATTGTTAGGGTTTTGGAGATGTAGGGAAGGTTGAATGATGGGGGAGAAATTGCGGTGAAGAAGCTGTCGCAGAGCTTGAATCAGGGGAAGAATGAGTTCAAGAACGAGGCCAAGCTGTTGGCTCGCGTGTAGCACCGCAATGTTGTCAATTTGTTGGGGTATTGTGCGCACGGTGCGGAGAAACTGCTTGTGTATGAGTATGTAGCTAATGAGAGCTTGGACAAGCTTCTCTTCAGTAAGTTCTCTTCTACTTTGATCTTTTTTTGGATGCAACACTCAGTTCTTATTTATGTAGAGTTGAAATTGGGACACCAAAATTGAATTTATGGTTGTTATAGTACCAATTAGTGATGAGTTTATTGAATTTTAGCTGTCGTGGTTAGCTGCCAATTGAATAAACAGGTACTAGGTAGATGTATTGAAATTTAAGATATTGAATATGGTATATTTCATCTTTGTAAATGGAAGTTCTTGATTAAATTGTTGATGGTGTCATAGTAGCACTCAGTGTTGCACTTTGCTAGACCTAGGGTGGTCTCAACTGCCTCATTCATATTCTCTGCATCTTGAAAAGAATCAAATCTGTTGCTATGAGTATTTTCAAGAATCAAATCATCTTGAAGGAGTATGCTCACCAAGTGTATGTAAAAATGTCATAAAGAGGTTTTGAGGACTGGTTTCCACTTACTTTAGTCTAGATATTGGGTCATTTATATATAAAGCTTCTCAGGATTTATAATTTTCTTGTGTGCTGATCCAAGTGTTTCTTTCTAATCCTTATTGAGTTGTTGCTTGAATTAATTGTTGCGTGAGTTTTGAAATCTAACTTTACAATTCTAACTTTGGATGGTTCTTTGTGAATTGTAAACAATGCCATCTAGAAGTCTTTTTCTTTGACACCTTATCTCTGACCTATTTTCTTACCTTGTCTCTAAAATTCCTTCTATAAGTTTCTAAAATTCCATTGAACTTTTACTGTGTTTTAAACCTTTTGCTATATGAGTTTTTGTGTTTTAAACCTTTATCTGTGTATATGTTTGGTAAGGTAGGGAATGAAAGATGATTGATGACTGTAATTGGAAATGGGAAAAACAGATAAGAGGAAGTGTGACATGCTTTAAACTGTTGACTATTTAGGATTCTGTTAGTCAGATGCTTTGGAAGGTTTCCTTGTGCAATTATCTGAGGGATTTTGAAATGCAGAAATTTGGATTTCAGTTATGACTCATTGATAGATGTAGCAAAGTGTAAACTGCTTTCGTTTGTGAGGTTCATAAAGCATTTTGTAAAAGTAAAGAAAGAACAAAGGGTTGAGGTGTCTTGCATTGTTGGAACAAGTAAATTTGCACTTCTTTATATAGGATTTTGTGGATTCAAACACCAGTAGGTTACTTAATGGTTAATTAAGAGGTAAGTTACCCATTAAGTTGCAAGTAGCTCAGTAGTGGTAGACAAATAGCTCAACACTAGCAACTTAACCAGGAGATTGCCTTGGAGCTAAGTAATTGAATTACCAAAATGCCCAAAACGTATAAATATAACTTTTTATAAACTCTTCAAATCCATTAAGCTTCATGGTTGAACCAGTTTTTAAAGTGGACTAAATCTTCAAAAAAAAAAATTTCTTCTTCTTTGGCCCTCATGGTCTGCATCATACTATTAATAACCAATTTATTCAAAAGAAGATGCTTCAGAAAATGAGGTCTACTACTGTTTTTATAGCCGTGAATTGTCTAAACTTGTTAACTTCAGAAAACACATAAGCTAGGCTATGGTCTGGTTTCCTTTATCATACTTTTGTACCTCTATGATCATGGTTCCTTTGTTAGATGCATTGATGGTGACGATCTCATGACATTAAATTCCATCTCCATTGTTATCTTGATCCATTGTTTGCTTAGCTGGTGCTGTTTGGTTGTTTGCTTATCTTGAAATTCCATCTCCATTATTACTCCTTGAATGTAATAAGTGAGTGCCGAGCAAACTATGCCCTGCATATATACATTTTAAAACAAAGAGCTGTAGAATATTACCATTTTTGGCAAAAGCTGGTTCTCCCATGTCATGAGAACAAAAAGTTGTCAGGAGTTTGGTGTCCCAGCTTATAGACCAGACGCTAGCATTTTCCCTCTCCATTATAAGCGCCACTATGGCTCCCTGAGCTGTTCCTAATAGGCATATCCAAGCAGTGAGGGAGAGCTCAGCAGGATATGTCTTTAGCGTGATTGCTTAGAGAAACAGAAACAAATATAATTATGATCTCAGATAAAAATTTATTGTCCATATCAAAACAGCCCCCAAACCACCATGTTACTCACACGAACAGTTTTCCCATGACAAATAGGACTTGTGAGAACTAATGGAATGTAATTCGGACCCGTAAGTAGGGAGTTATAGCCGAAAACGCCCTACACTTAGTCGAAAAAGAGCGTTTCGGAGGTAAAAATTCAAAACAACCCCCAAACCACCGTGTGACTCACACGGACAGTTTTCCCATGACAAATAGGACTTGTGAGAACTGACGGAATGTAATTCGGACCCGTAAGTAGGGAGTTAGAGCCGAATACACCCAAACTTAGTCGAAAAAGAGCTTTTCGTTGGCGAAAATTCAAAACAGCCCCCAAACCACCCTGTGACTCACATGCATAGTTTCCCCATGACAAATAGGACTTCTGAGAACTGACGGAATGTAATTCGGACCCGTAAGTACGGAGTTAGAGCCGAAAACGCCCTAAACTTAGACAAAAAAGAGCGTTTCAGGGACGAAAATTCATAACAGCCCCGGAACCACTGTGTGAGTCATATGGATAGGTTCCCCATAACAAATAGGACTTGTGAGAACTGACGGAATGTAATTCGGACCCGTAAGTAGGGAGTTAAAGCCGAATACACCCTAAACTTAGTCGAAAAAGAGCGTTTCGGGGGCGAAAATTCATAGCAGCCCCCGAACCACCGTGTGACTCACACGGACAGTTTCCCCATGACAAATAGGACTTCCGAGAACTGACGGAATGTAATTCGCACTCGTAAGTACGGAGTTAGAGCCGAAAACGCCCTAAACTTAGACGAAAAAGAGCGTTTTGGGAGCGAAAATTCATAACAGCCCCCGAACCACTGTGTGAGTCACATGGATAGGTTCCCCATGACAAATAGGACTTGTGAGAACTGACGGAATGTAATTCGAACCCGTATGTAGGGAGTTAGAGTCGAATACGCCCTAGACATAATCGAAAAAGGGTGTTTCGGGGGCGACAATTCATAAGAGCCCCTGAACCGAGTCACGCGGACAGGTTCCCCATGACAAATAGGACTTGTGAGAACTAACGGAATGTAATTCGGACCCGTAAGTAGGGAGTTAGAGCCGAATACGCCCTAAACTTAGTCGAAAAAGGACGTTTCGAGACTGAAAATTCAAAACAGCCCCCGAACCGCCGTATGGCTGACACAGGCAGCTTCCCCATGCCAAATATGACTTATGACAACAGACGGAATGTTATTCGGACCCGTAAGTTGGGATTTAGAGTCGAATACGCCATAGACTTAGTCGAAAAAGGGCGTTTCGGGGCTGAAAACTCAAAACAGTCCTTTAACCGCCATGTGGCCGATATGAACAGCTTTCCCATGCCAAATATGACTTGTGACAACTGACGGAATGTTATTTGGACCCGTATGTTAGGATTTAGAGCCAAATATGCCCAAAACTTAGTCGAAAAAGGACATTTCGGAGGCAAAAATTCAAAACAGCTCCCGAACCGCCTTGTGGCTCACACGGACAGTTTTTCCATGAAAAATAAGACTTGTGAGAACTGACGGAATGTAATTCGGACCCGTAGGCTTGGGGTTTGACCCGAATACGCACAAAACTTAGTCGAAAAAGGGCGTTTCGGGGACGAAAATTCAAAACAGCCCCCGAACCGCTGCGTGGCTGACACGAGTAGCTTCCCTATGCCAAATATGACTTGTGACAACTGAAGGGATGTTATTCGGACCCGTAGGTTGGGATTTAGAGCTGAATACGCCCAAAACTTAGTCGAAAAAGGGCGTTTCGGGGCTGAAAATTCAAAATAGCCCTTGAACCGCCATGTGGCCGACACGAACAGCTTTCCTATGCCAAATATGACTTCTGACAACTGACGGAATGTTATTCGGACCCGTAGGTTGGGATTTAGAGCCGAATACGTCCAAAACTTAGTCAAAAAATGGTGTTTTAGGGGCAAAAATTCAAAACAGCCCCCGAATTGCCGTGTGGCTGACACGAGCAGCTTCCCCAGGCCAAATATGACGTGTGACAACTGACGGAATGTTATTCAGACCCGTAGGTTGGTAGTTAGAGCTGAATACGCCCAAAACTTAGTCGAAAAATGGCGTTTCAGGGCCGAAAATTCAAAACAGCCCCCAAACTGTCATGTGGCTCACACAGACAGTTTTTCCATGACAAATAGGACTTGTGAGAACTAACGAATTGTAATTCGGATCCGCAGGCTTGGAGTTTGACCCGAATACGCACAAAACTTAGTCGAACAAGGGCGTTTCGAGGGCGAAACTTCAAAATAGCCGCCGAACCTCCGTGTGACTCTCACGGGCAACTTCCCCATGACAAATAGGACTTGTGACAACTGACGAAATGTATTGGAGATGTATAGTAATGGGAAGTTTTGGGAAAAATATTCAGAAACCAATATTAACTCAGTTTACGCCTTGTTATATTATATTAATTTCTTGAACATACACAAGTGGGTTATATTATATTTAAGCTTTCATACAAGTATCAAACTGTGAATGGTGTTTCTGAGGCTATATGCTTCATGAGATATCAAGTATTCTTTCTTTGATGAATCATTTATAGGTGTCTCAACATACATTTCTACATATTTCCTTTTATGATTGAACTTTATTTTTGTTATTATTTTTTTCACATGTTTTAATATCCTGAATGAAATGGCATTGACAGACATTAATAAGTAGGGATGGTTTTATATCCAATCTAATGATTCAAGTGCTTTTTGCAAACAAATAATGAGGAAGTTGGTAAAAAGAATATTTTCTATTCACATTGGGCTGTGATATTGGTTTAGCCACAGAATTTGGATACATGTTGCATACAAATAAAAGATTGTTACATGAGCTTTATGTTAGTAATGAAAGATTTAGTAATGATTGTTCTGCATTTAACAATGTTCCTTATAACAAAAGACTTTAGAAAGACTATAGAAAGACTGATAATTGATTCATCATGGGAGGTTGCTTCTTTGATATGTTATTTGTCACTTGTTGCCAAATTCATTCATGAAATTAGGCATTTTTTGGTCCAATTCTTTTTTTTTTTTTTTTTTTTTTTTTTTTTTTTTTTTTTTTTTTGTAGATGACTTTGTTGCGTGGACTTTCAGAGAAATATTTTGGTGTATGGAGAAGAAATTGTACTTTTGTATAGAAGTAATATAATACTATTGTCGTCCCCAACTTTTGTGCAGTTAACTATTACTGACACAGAAATTTTTTTGCAGCCAACAGATAATTACTGGCATGGTACATAGATCACCTTTTGTCGCTGTACATATATATGATTTTTTGTCGTGGTACAGATTACGATGTTAATTTGTACCATGTCAAATGGTCATTTCATATGGTAGTAAATGTAATTTTTGTATATGGTGGGCTTTGCTTTTTGTATGATTTTATATTTTGTATGAAATTATTATTTTAGTTTGGACAATAGTTGGTTTGTATGTACTTGGACAATTAAAGTTATTTATTTTTTGTATACGGATACAGATTGTGGAATGATTAATAGTTTAGGTATCATTTTATTTATATATGTATTACAGGTTGCATGGAATACAGACAGGTTATGGACACATTATAATATTTGCAATAAAACATAATATTATGTGTTTGCCGACTAAACATTTTGTAGCCAAAAAAAAAAAAAAAAAGGTTCAAACATTTGGTGACTAAACATTTTGTAGCCAAAAGAAAATCAAACATTTGGCAACTAAATGTTTTATAGCCAAAAGAAAATCAAACATTTGGTGACTAAAAGTTGTGTAGCTAAAAGAAAATCAAATATTTGGCTACTAAAAGTTTTGTAGCCAAAAGAAAATCAAACATTTGGCAACTAAAATATTTTGTAGCTGAAAACAAAAGCTGATGAATAAAAACACTTTTGCCGACTAAAATTTTAGTAACAAAAAATGTGAGAGTTTAGGCGACTAAACTTTTAGCAGCCAAAACAAATACTATTTGCCGACTAAAATTTTAGTAGAAAAAAAAGTTTGACTTTAGGCGACTAAAATTTTAATAGCCAAAACAAATACTATTTGTCACCTAAAATTTTAGTAGCAAAAAAGTTTGACTTTAGGCAACTAAAATTTTAGTAGCCAAAATATTAGCATTTACTTTAGGCGACTAATAAATTTAGTAACTAAAACTTTTTCCGCGATTAAATCTTTGGTCGTTAACAATAATTGAGGCTTTTGGCGACAAAAAAATTGGTCAGCGAAAATGTATTATTTAATTAATTTTTTAACCTTTTGGCGACTAAACACTTGTAGTCGGCAAAAGAATACATTTGGCAACTAAAATAAGCTTAGTTGCCAAGTAGCTTTCCCGATTACTCTTCGGCTACTAATTTTACGACCAAAAAATTTGGTCGGTAAAGCCCATCGGCGACTAAATATTGACTTTTGGCGATTAAAAATTTAGGTGCCAAAAATGAAAATTCTTGAAGTGAGTATAATTTATTAAACGTGTAGAGGGTATCTGTATTAAGTCAAAACCTCAAGAGATATTAGTGTAATTTATCCTTAAAATTTAAAGTAAATATTCATTCACAGAGTGGCCCCACAATAAAAAAAAAATCAAATCAAATCAAAATCATAAATCTAAAGTTTTGAATAACTTCTTTCTCTCTTCTTGTTGTTGTTGTTATTATTATTATTATTATTATTATTTTGGTGCTGAGACTTTTTGCTGACCAAAAGGACTATATAAAAAATAAAAATAAAAATCTATTCTTTAAAATTAACTAGAATTTAGATGCAAGGGTAAAGATTCATTCCGGGAGTGGTTCCATATATTAATAGAAGTTGAGCAATCTTAATTGGCACTCTCTAGTTTATATCATATATTTTTTTTATATATAATTTGTAAATTAAAGTACACTGTTAAACGAAAAAATAAAATTTTATACATATATAATCTCATTATATGCCTGACATTTTCGTCCATTTTAGATTCAAAGTATAATTTGCCCCATTATATTTTATTCCATCTAGGAGCCTGACTTTTCAACCTTTTTTAATATAATTTTTTGAAAATTGATTTTTTTTTTTTCATATTTTTTTTTATGAATTTTTTTTAATAATTTAAGCAATTTTTTTATTTTCTAGATAGACCTAACCTAGATGTAACTAAAAGGTAAAATATTTATAAAAAAAAATATTTTAAAAAATTAGTAAATACACAAGAATACAAAAATGTACTAAATTTTCATATCTTTTGGTATTTAATAAATTTTTAAAAGATTTTTTTTACAAATATTATACTTTTTAATTGTATTTATATTAAGTGTATTTAAAACGATAAATTACAAATACATCCCTTGAGATTTGCTTAAAATACAGATTGCCCCTTGTAATTTGAAATATTACAAATGCCTCCTTATTAGAATTTTTTATTTAACAGAATTAACTAAAAAAATGAAATTCATAATTGCTCTCCTATACAAAATAAAATTACCTAAATTATTAATTGAAACATATTTTTAACATTACTAAAAATTGTTAATTGACTTGATGATTTATTAATAAGGACATTTTGTTATAAAATTAGAAACCTTAGGGGTGGAATCTAATTTTCAAAATCACAGGGGGCGATTCGTATCCGAATCAAATCTTGGGGGTGTATTTGTCATTTATACTATTTAAAATGTAAAAAATTTGCATAAAATATTTTTAAAATTTTACAAAAAAATAAAAAAATTAAATTTTATAAAATTGAATTCAAAAAATTTAAACAGTTGATTTGAACCGAATGTTGATAAGAGATAAACTGAAATTTGACCACGGCAGTTCCCATAAGTTCTGCTTGAGGACTTCAAAAGCTTTATGCTAAGACTCATCATTCATTTTCAATTGGAGTTCCACCAATTTTCTTGCATCCAAAACAGTACCTTCCGACGGCGCCAAAAAAAAAAAACTTGCATGACATGAACAAGAAAACTTACTATAATTGTCATCATGACTTCAAATTTTTTTCGTTCTATAAGACCTCTCTGAACAACGACAAAATAACCAAATCAACCACAAAAAAATATACAAAAGATAATTTTTTGGTTTATTCTTATCTTAATCTCAATAACAAACAAAAAAAATTAAAATAAAATTAAAAATCAACGCAACACAACCAAAAACAAGACAATAAATTGAAAAGATAGTAGAGACAATTGTAAACTTGGTTCAGCGCAATTAACCTAATGCTAATGTCTTGGAGAGAGAAGAACTTGGTTGACCAACTTGTCTAGATTCAAGAAAGATGAACCAGATGAACTCTCAGTGGCCTCTAGAGCCAATCTCTTCCACTCCATAGCCTTTTTCTTCATCTCCTTCCCTTTCTCTCCAACCATCAACTCTCTCACAAGGCTCTCAACTTCATCTTTCTTAACATCATTATCTATCTCCATCCCTATGCCCCATTGGGTGCAACAGTGCCAACAATTTGTTTGTTGCTCCGCGAAAAATGGCCAACAGACCATTGGAACTCCGCTCGAAATGCTTTCAAGTGTAGAGTTCCACCCAGAGTGAGTTAAAAACCCTCCAATAGACGGGTGTTCAAGAACTTGCTCTTGGGGGCACCAACTTGCCAATAAACCTCTTTCTTTTGTTGCTTCCATGAATTCTGGTGGAAGAACAGCCAAGTCGCCAGTGACAAGATCAGGTCTTATTACCCACAAAAAGGTCTGGTTGCTATTAGCAAGTCCCCAAGCAAACTCAACCATTTGGTTTGGTGTCATGACAGTGATGCTTCCAAAGTTCACATAAACAACAGAGTTGGGTCCTTTTGTATCGAGCCATTCGAGGCACTCGGGTTCTTCTTTCCACAGATTTGATCCTATGAACTTTAGACTATCATCGTTGATTTGATTCATTAATAAGTGTAAAGGTCCAATGGTGTAGACTGGGGGGAACATAGATGAAAGAGCCTCCAAAACGTTATGTTCCAATTTCTCAAATGTATTGAAAATAATGGCAGAGCCTCTGCGAGCTCTCTCAGTTTCCCCACACACAAAATCAATCATAAAATCGCTTAGGTCTGTGGTTCGAAGAAAACTTGGTAAATCCTTCAAACGTATATCTTTCATACCAGGTATCCAATCGATAACCGTATCCAAATACCCATTGGTTATGCAACTCTTATCTGCACATCACCCCAAAAAAATAATATCAGCACCAAACTTACGATATTGTATTGAAAAAAAATTTATCAAATTTTTTATCAAATATCTTATATAAATAAAACTTATATTATATAAAACTCATATAAATTTTACACTCATATAAAATATTTAAAAAATAATAATAATAAACTTTTAAAATCCCGAACATTATTCAATTAGTAAAGGTAAATATAGATAGTATAGGAGTAAATGTCCACACTTGCCACACTTTTCTAGGAGTACAGATGCAGACTCATAATATCTTTTTTAAATTTATTTCTCTACTCTCTCAATTTTGTTTTTATTTTTATTTTTTTTTGTGTGTAATCATGTAAATTCTCAAATTTTTTATTGACTTTGAGATCAAACTACTGACCCATCATGTGATAGAGAAATTAATCTACTTTAGATGAGAGAAGACGTGTTGTCAATCTAATTAAAATAAAATAAAAAATAATTAGATGTAAATACAACTTTATATAAAAAAATTTACACACGTATAAAAATTACAAAAATATTTAAAACTTTAAAACAAGAACACTAAAGGAAGTCTAATAAGTGAAACTTACCCATAGATTTAATGTTTTGATCTTTTTATTTATATACCTAATCACGTCATTACTGTTTTGGTTAGAGCTATGTGTCATCATCGCAAAAAATTTATATATGAATTTTTTTAATTAATAAAAAAAAGGTGTTGATCTAGCATGCTTGAATGTATGTACATGTATATTTGTGCATGTAATGTATACATTTAATTATATTAATATCCATATTAATTGAATTAATAATACCTTCAAGTGGAATATAACTCTTATCGATAAGATTACGATACTGTTCATAACCCATGAACCCACAAGCACTAGTTGTCCAGAAAAGAACTTCAGATGCCCAATTCTTCAGCAGCATCCACAGTGAAGCTCATAGCCCCATCGGAGACTATGCAAGTCACCGGCGGGACGTTCGACGAAGCGGTGTCGTTTAGCTTCGAAAGAAGGTCTTTAAAAGGAGCTAAGCAGTGTTTTCTGGTGGACTCGCACAGTGATGGGATGTGTTGGGTTGCATCGGCATCGCACTCGGGGAGCCCATCGGGTATGGTTTCGAACCTGAAGGAAGAGAGCCCGTTGAGAGAGTCGGGGCCCCGAGATTTGAGGAGGCGTTTGTGGTTGAACTCAGTGTTGACAAAGGTGATGTGAAAGCCTCTCTGGTGGAGGAGTTTGGAGAGTTTGAGCATGGGGTTGATGTGGCCTTGAGCTGGGTATGGTATACAAACTGCATGA